GCAGGGGACATCAAGCTCAATTGGCATAACATACTATACAAAACATTGTTCCACCTACTACTTTGGCGAGTAGCGACTGGGACCTTAAAAGCTAGGAAGCTGCCATCTAGATGCAACAACGGGTCTCTCCTCGTCAAGAAGAAAGAAGAAAACCAAAATTAATGGAAACAATCAGTCCTAGCGATTGGTACACCATCCGATCTGCAGCCTATACAACTATGAGACCAGAAGAACTAGATGGTGCCCAGCTACCACTGCCATCCACTTGGAAGGGATGTAGGAGATCTTGCATAAAGAGGGAGAACAATGTGATACAAAACTCAAAATCATTTGGAGGCAAAAAAAAAAAGAAGAAGAAGAAGAAGGTGGGGACCAGGTTTGCTGGTCCAATAGAGCCTGGTGTAACCACTGAGACTATGGCCCCTAGCTGCCCTTCAGGTCTGGAATTGAACCCACAACTGTGGTTTCCAGCCAAACAAAGTACAGGCATGTGAGTTAAACATTTACCTCAAGTAGACACACGCCCTGGAGAGAACAATCATGGGAGAAGGAAGGGCTGCTTATGCACAGGGAGATAGCTCAGGGTGCAGAAGAGTCTGAAGGGATGGACACTGGGAGGAGGTAACTGGGGGGAGGAAGTGGGAGGGGAGCTGCTGCATTGTAAATTTTGGTCAATGACATGAGACAAAGTATATGTGAACTGCTGTATGAAAAGTGAATTTACTCTGTAAATCTTCACCCAAATCCTAATTAAAAAAAAAAAAGAACAAGCTGCTAAAGCTCAGGAAAAAATTAGAAGCAATGAAAGATTTCGGGTAAATGACTAAACAAGAAGGAACATGAAAAAAGAATATGTCCAACATATTAGAAGATGGAATATTTAAGGATGAAGAAACATAGATTAAAAAGTTAGATTTGAGGAAAAGTGGCATGTGGACAGTGTTTGGTTAAAAAAAAGAAAGTTCAATATAATAGAAGTCCTCCCAACAAAGAAGACAAGAGCAAAACAGTAATTCTGGTACTAAAAACTAATTCATGAAAATTTTCCTAAATAATATTTGAAACTGCAGATTGAAAGGGCAGCCATAATGACCAGCACTGAGACCTAGTTTGGCAAAATACTGAAATTGAAAGAAAAAACTATCCTTCGGTCATCCAGGCATAATGATCAAGTGTCTTGGAAGGGAAAGAAAATCAGATACTATCTTGATCAAATGCTTGAAGCATGTTCTTTTTCCTTGTCCCCTGAAAGCATTTTCCCCTAACTTCCAGAACATTGGATGCAGTGTTCCAGATATACCATTTATCATCATTCAGATAGGTCATAAGTCGTAGCCTACCTGTATTAAATACATGGTTAATTGTAGAACTAAGGCTAAATGAAAATTAAAGGGAGAAGATGTAATATGTAATAGTTAAGCACTCTGACAGTGTAGATGCAGTGTAACTTTTTTAAAGTGGGAGAATCAGGAGACCAAACCAAAAAACCAAACTCACTGCCATCGAGTCAATTCCAACTCATGGTTGACCCCCTTTGGGTTTCCAAGGTGGTAAATCTTTAGGGAAGTAGATTGCCCAGTCTTCCGTAGAGTGGCTCGTGGGTTTGAACTGCCAACCTTCTAATTAGCAATCAAGTGCTTTAGGCACTACGCCACCAGAGCTTCTTAATCATATCAGTATAGGATTAATATTGTCATTCTGATACTGTTACATGTAATATGAAGTGATTGAATATGATATTCTAACATCCTTTGTGCTCAAAAGCATCAGGATTCTTGGTGTGAGTTAGAATTTCTTGATTCCAATTAGCAATGTCAGTAATTCATGAGGTATTTTCTTTTTCAGGCTCTTTGCACCAAAAAGACCAAAAAAAAAATGCCCAGTTGCACTGAATCTCCCTAGTACCCAGATTGTGGGCTTGAAATGCTTACTAAAAGAAATTCTTACTAAAAGAAATCAGAGTTTCTTAGAGAAATGTCTAGTTCCATTTCTGGACAGAATAGTTACAAGATGAATTTGGAATGATTTCTCATACTAGATAGCAAAGAAGTAATTAAAGACTTCCGTAGTGATGCTGCCTTGGAAACCCAAGGAGGGGTTGCTATGAGTCAGAGATGACTCGACGGCACATAACAACAAGGGTTGTATCAGAATGATTCAGAAGCCAAAATGAAGAGGTTCCCATTGGCCAATATGAGATTGTACACTGATAAGGATAATAACTGCAAGAAATTGAATCACATCAAATATTAAATCTTTTGAGTTCACATTGTTAATCTCACCTTTGGAATATGATAGGGAAACCAAAAACTCATTTTTCTCAAGTCAATTCCAATTCATAGCCACCCTATAGGACAGAGTAGAACTGCCTCATAGAGTTTCCAAGGCTGTAATTTTTATAGAAGCAGATTACCACATCTTTCTCCTGTAGAGCAGCTGGTGGGTACTTTTCTGTCCTACATGGTTGCTATGAGTCAGAATAAACTAGCTGGCAAGTTTTGTTTTGGTTTTTGGTTTAGCTAATAAGGAATGATAAAATTAGAAAGTCATTGTTTTGTAGCTTCAAATGAGTTAATAGTTTTATAGTCTTCATTCTTTATAGTTTAGTTTTATGGTTTTCAATCTCTTAGTATTAATGTCTGCCAACATCACAGAAAGAAGACAGCCATACTTTATGTGTCTCCTATTACAAGGAGCTCTGGTGGTACAGTGGTTAAAGCATTTAGCTGCTAACTAGAAGATTGGCAGTTGGAACCCACCAGCAACTCCACGGAAAAATGATTGAGCAGTGTGCTTCTGTAGATTTACAACCCAATGGGGGTCACTATTGAGTGTATGAGTGTGAATCAAATCAATGGCAGTGAGTTGGTT